CCCCAAACCAGGAGACTGGCAAGAGATAGTGTGGTGGGCTTCCCAGCCCACAAAGCCAGAAAAGTGAGTGCCTTGGGGCAGAGGCTTACTGGAGGAGTGGAGTGGAGTGCCTCTGGAGACTTATAGGCAGAGCTAAAAGAGCTTTGTAACACTTGCCTGAGCAGGGCAAAGGCCAAGGGCCAGAGAGAGGCGTGCCTGGGAGCACGGCTGAGAAGAGGCATCCTGATGGAAGAACTGTATCCTGAGCGTTCCTGAACCTGAACTATAACCTGTTACTTCCCTAATAAACCCCATAATCATGAGTATTGTCTGTGCATTGTGTCGACACTGCAATGAATTATCGAACCGAGAAGTAGAGAGTGCTGCAGGAGGGACAGTTGGTGTCAGAATTGGTAAAGATGGTGGAGAGAGGAGGTATGACTGACCTTCACCTAATAGGAATCAGACTTGGGCTATTGATCTTGATTCTCCTTCCCCCTTGTGAAGTTAGAGGAGGTCAGACCCCGCCTCCACGCCATTCTTATAATTATCCAAAGTATGTGAAACACGTCTTGCCATCCTTGCTTCTAAGGAGCGTTCTGGCTGTACTTCTTCCAAGACAGATTTGTTCATTCTTCTGGCAGACCGTGGTATATTCAATATTCTTCGCCAACACCATAATTCAAAGGCATCAATTCTTCTTTGGTCTTCCTTATTTACTGCCCAGCTTTCACATGCATATGAGGTGATTGAAAATACTATGACTTTGGTCAGGCGCACCTTAGTCCTCAAGGTGACATCTTAGCTTTTTAACACAATTATAGTTGGAGATTTTAACACTCCTTCCTCAGCAACCGATAACCCCTACCCCCAATCAGTAAAATCACGGATCTGAATGCTATCAATCACCTTGGCCTAACTGATATTTATAGAACACCATACCCAATAACTGCAGAATACACATTCTTTGCAGGTATACATGATACATTTACCAAAGGAGATTATATGCTGGACCATAAAACAAGTCTCAATATATTTAAAAAGACTGGAATCATACAGAGTACATTCTCTGACCAAAATGGAATTAAATTAGAAATCAATAAAACTGAATGATAATGAAAATACAACAGATCAGATTTGTGGGGTGTAGTAAGCAGTGCTTAAAGGGAAATTTATAGCCTTAAATGCTTACATTAGAAATGAAAAAAGGTCTCAAATCAATAACCTTTAGAAGCTAGAAAAAGAAGAGCAAGTAAAACTAAAATAGTAGAAGGAAGGAAATAAGAATCAGAAATCAGTGAAACAGAAAACAGATAGAGAAAATTAACAAAGACAAAAATTGGTTCTTTGAAAAGATAAGTACCCTAGTAGATTAAGAAAAAGATAGAACACAAATAACCAATATTAGGAATGAAAAGAGGGATCAAGCCTATAAACATTAAAAGGATAAGGGGATATTATGAGTAACTTATGCTAACAAATTTGACAATTAGAAGAAATGGACAAATTCCTTGAAAAACTGACATGAAACAGAAAATTGGAAAGCCCTATAGTTACTAAAAAAATTGAATTCATTATCAAAAACTTTCCTATAAAGACAATTCAGACTAGATGATTTCACAGGTGAATTCTATCAAACAAAAGGGAGAAATAACACAAATCTTACACAAATTCTTTCAGAAAATTCAGGAGGAAGAAACACTTCCCAAATAATTTACAAGGCTGGCATAACTCTCGTTCCAAAACCTGACAAATACATAATACAAAAAAGAAAAGCACAGACCAACACCTCTTATAAACATAGATGCAAAAAATCCTAAGTAAGATATTAGCAAATCAAACCAAGCAATACATGAAGAGGGCTATATATCATGATCAAGTGGAGTTTTCCCAGGAATGTAAGGTTGGTTTAACATTTAAAAATTAATGTTATTCACCGTTCAGCTGGGGATTGGACAGCCTCATAAAACAAAACGGGACTAATGAGGAACAGTAGTCCAGGGACAAGGACTAGAAGGCAGGAGGGGACAAGAAAGCTGGTGATAGGGAACCCAAGGCTGAGAAGGGACAGTGTTCACATGTTGTGACAATGGGCGATATGTGTACTAACTGTTTAATGAGAAACTATTTGTTCTGCAAACCTTCATCTAAGGTAAAAAAAAAAAAAAAAAAAAGAATTATTTATGTGAGATCAAATTGACAACAGCAACTCAAAAGGTCTGATGGGAAGCCTAGGGGGCAGTGACTTGAAAATAATGTTGATGGAATAATTTGGAAAAGGATAGTGAGAATAGCAGCACAACTGGAAGAATGTAATCGATGTTACTGAATTGTACACGTAGAAACTTTTGAAATGGTGTCAATTTGGCTTTGTATATTTTCACCAGAAAAAAAAAGGTCCTCCAAGGTCAAGTGTTGACAAGTCGTGGGGTTGTTAACCAATGTCATAAAACAACATGTGTACTGACTGTTTAATGAGAAACTATTTGTTCTGTAAACCTTCATCTAAAGTACAGTAAAATAATAATAATAAAGCTATGAGACTTTAGTAGATAAAAAAAATTAATGTTATTCATTATATAAACCAGATATAAGAGAAAAGCTAACAAAATAAGATCAGCTGCTTTTGTTGAACTCTGGCAAAACTTCAGTT